ACCGAGTTCGACTCTGGTGGAGAATATCTTTATAATATTTATTATTAATAATTATAATTTTTTAGTTAATTTTTAACATTATGATGTTAAATTTATTAATTAATATAATTAATATTTTAATATAATTTATAATCAAATTATATTAAAATATTTAATTTTTAAATTTAATATTTTTATAATAAAAATAAATATTTTTGTACAGAAGACCGAAAATATTTGAGACGGTTATATATATATATATATATGTGAATTTATATATATATTAATCTAAATAAATTATTCAATTTAAATTTTGTTTGAAACGATGATGTGATATAATTATACTAATGTGTGTATGATTTGGAATTCATATCATTATATCACATAATCATTTGTGTTTGAGTTATCAAATATAAAATTTTTTAATGATTTTTTAAAAAGTTAAAGATTTTATGGATTAATTTCAGTAAATACAGAGTTTAATTAATAACGAAAAAAGTACATCACTTTTTATTCATGTAAAAAGAGTATAGTTTTTTTTTTGCAATGCCTATTCGTTATTATTGTTATTGCTTTTTTTTTCGTCATTTCTTTTGGATAATCTCGTTTTAGTTAAAAAAAACAATAAGATTTTAGATTTTATTAGATAAATAGGTTAGCCCTTATCATTAACAACTCATGATCTCGGGAAATAATATGAGATCTTTTGGATCAAAAAATAAAAGTTCAGAAACAAATTTGCTAGTTTCTTGATAAAAATTAAGACCATTTTTTTTATAACGGTAGGAACCCGTCATACGATCCTTCGGGCTATAACCCGATCACCCCACAACTCTCAAGTCGGACAATTGGTATCGTGAACAGTAAAACCTCCGATCCTCTGCAATAACCGGTAAACCACGCAGAATAGATAAACCAACATCGTAAAACTAACCGACTCAAGGAGAGTTTCCATATCTTGGATTTAAACGGTATTATATCAAAAATACTATTACTTTGCTATTTCTACTTCAAGACCTACCCTTGTGACCATGTAACCGAAATATAGTATGATCATATTTTGATTTTATCGATTATAACGTTAAATTTATGGTGATCACACTAATTCATTATGTTCATACCTTGTATATCTTACTAATCATTTGATTAAAACATCATAAATTTAACGTTATGAACAATAGAATCAATATGTGACCACACTATATTTCGACCACATTCGTTATAAGGATAAGTCTTGAAGTAGAAATAGCAAAGTAAGGATATTTTTGATAAAACCTCGATTTAAATGGTAGATAAGGTTTGTCATTAACACAAGATCAATCTGTGATGTAAATAGATAGAATTAGTGACAAAATATATTATTTTAATAACGTGAAAAATTCTTTTCCAAACGTATATTACTTACAAAGCACACAGCACAATACGAGCCCATAAAATCATATGATCGTGTCATCTAATCGCTAGTCAAAATCTACTATTCAAGATAAAATTCGAATTCGTGATGATTATAATAAAAAAAAAAGTTGTAATTTGGACCGCTATATATTGGCGTACAAGATCAAAACACAAACATGCAAACGTAAAAAATAGGAGTGACCATTTCGGTTATTAACCGAATAAACGAGGCGAAACGAATCGAATAGATATAACCTGACATCAAAACCGAACGATTATGATTTTCTTAAATCCAAAAAAACTAAAACTGAATCGAACCGAACTAAATAAAAAATAATCGAAAAAACCGATAAAATAACCGACAATTTCTTTGAAAAACGGAATTTTTTACCGAAACCGAACCGAAACGGAACCGAAAAATAACCGAACCAAACCGAACCGAAATTTATATAAAAACCGAATGATTATAGTTTTTCTATAATCGAAATAATCGAATCCGAATATATCAAACTGAATCGAGAAAAAAAAAAGACGCACGTCATAATGAGACGAAATCTTCATAGACAAAACAAGTCAAAAAGTCCAACCACTATAAAGAAACAAGATGCTTCTCGGTCCGATCCTCGAACCTCACCTGAACTCTCCAATGTCTATTCTCGGAGCTTCGACCTTTATAAACCTTCTTTCCTTCACTCCCTCTTCTCCACTTCCACGCACACACACAAATATATATACACGCACACGCGCATATATAACAGGGAGAGGGATCTAGAGTTAATTAGTAGTGAATTACAGATGGAAAATAACGAAGAAGCTTTAGCCCTTGAGCTAGTAAGGCAACATCTTCTCACAGACTCCACGTCCATGGAAACAGGTTTCATCTCCAATTTTTCCATTAGTCGTGTCGTTTCTACAACTATAGAAACCAACCCATCTCTGTTTTTCAATCAAGTTCAAAACTTTCACATGGAAACGAGCCCTAAAACGCTCCAACCCCAAAACCCTAAACCGAGTTCGACTCTTAACCAACGTAAACCGCCCTTACCGGATATCTCCGTGCCGAGAACCGGAAACGGCGCGGAAGGGGAGGACAAGAAGCACTACAGAGGCGTGAGGCGTAGGCCGTGGGGAAAATACGCGGCGGAGATAAGGGATCCGAACAGAAAGGGCGCGAGAATCTGGCTGGGGACGTACGACAGTCCCGTCGAGGCCGCCAGAGCCTATGACGTGGCGGCGTTCCGGCTGCGCGGGAGAAAAGCCATCTTGAACTTCCCGCTCGAGGTGGGGACTACCATCCACGGCGGCTACGACGGAGGAGCTGCGGTGGAGGTAGGGAAGAGGAAGCGGCCGGATAGTTTTTCTCCGGCGGCGAGGGTTAAGATGGAGGCGGAGGAGGGAGGTGATGATATGACAGAGACTGCGACAGATTATAACGTGAAGATGGAGGTGGAGGAAGAGGGAGAAAAAGAAGGGTGTGATACGGCGGAGAAGGCGGCGCCGTTAACGCCGTCAAGTTGGATGGGGTTTTGGGATGTGAGTGGGGATGGGATATTCAGCGTTCCTCCGTTATCTCCGACGTCTCCGAGTTTCTCCGTCATCTCCTTCACCTGAGAGAGATTGTTTGAGTTTTGAAAAGTCAACGAGGTTGAAGATGACGTGTCTGGTTTCATTATATTACAATTTTATATAGCTCCATCACTGTAAATTGTTATATTGTATTTATTCGTTTTATTTCTTGGAATAATTTCGGATGGTTAGACAAAAGAAATGTATTTCTGTTTTGGATGTTATCTTTGTCGGATTGTCTTGTAATGAAATTTATTATTCGTTCTGTTATGTCAACTCTTTAAATTATTTTGTCTTGGATATATATAATATATATTCATTAACAAAAAAGAGAGTAGATATTTCACAAGGTATTTATTTATTTATTAATCATTGCACCATAAATTGCAATAAAAAAATATTGAAATTGGACAATACAAAATCATTTTATATTTTTAATTAGGTGGTGGTTTAGAGAGAAACGGGGGCAAGAGATTGGAGGGTTTGGTATATGTGGAGCCCTCCAGACAAAGTTCAAGTTGCTTCAAATGATCTCTGTACCAGCGGAGCCCATGGGATATGAATATGGTTGTATTTAAAATTCGATAATATATTTAAATTAAAATATAGAAATAGTTCAGAAAACCCATAATAAAATTCATTTTATATATAGTATATTTATTAAATAAAAAGGTTGGAAAATAATCGATCCTAGCCTTGAAATAACCATTTTAAATCTTAACAGGTTACCAATGTTAGATTTATTATCCTAAAAAATAAAAAATAAAATCAAAAGAGAAAGAGAGAGATCCAAATCAATCATGGAGTTAAATGATTGACCACTTGAGGTGTGATCATCTCTTGATTTTTTTTTGGCAGTTTTTACAGATTAAAAGCACGTGTCCACTGTCATGAATAGTAATCATGCATGAATGTATCTATGTATGTATGTATGCAGATGAACAAGTCTCTTTGGGAATCAAACGGCCGTAGCCATCGCCATTAAACAAATGCAAGTTGAGATATATTACTTTACTTTCTCCTGTCATGTCGACATAACCCAAGTTGAAGATCACTTCAAGGCTCCAACTTGTTTCTATAAATGTTCAGTGGATAAGGATGAGAGAGAGAGAGAGAACGCCATCTCCAAATTCCAGTTCAGACAACCCTCTGTAAGAGCCGTGTTCCGGGTTTCTTTATATACCTAAAAGATCTCAGCTTTTTTCCTTCAGATATCGCTGAAAAATGGCTACAGTCGAAGAGATCTCTGCTATGGAGTTTATGCAGACGCATCTGTTTGAAGATTTCAAGATCCCTGACGGCTCCATTGAAGACTTTGACTTTGACTCTTTCATCTCCGGCCTCTGGTCTGTAGAACCCGTGAATCCAGTTCCTAAAGAAGAGCCTGGTTCACCGGTTCTTGACCTGGAAGCTCAATCATCGTCGTCATCATCGTCGTCGGCACCTGTTCTTTCAGACATGAAAACATCACCTGTAAGTGTCTCAGCTCAAAAAACAGAAATGGGGTTTGAAGAGACAAGAAGACATTACCGAGGCGTGAGGAGAAGGCCGTGGGGGAAATTTGCTGCAGAGATTAGGGATCCGGCCAAGAAAGGGAGCAGAATCTGGTTAGGCACGTTCGAGACTGACATTGATGCTGCAAGAGCTTATGACTGTGCAGCATTCAAGCTCAGGGGCAGGAAAGCCATACTCAACTTCCCTCTGGACGCCGGAAAATACGATGCTCCGGCGAATTCTAGCCGGAAAAGGAGGAGAGCGAATGGCTCAGCCTCTCAGAGCAGCTTGTCCTCGTCAACTGATGGAGATACCATAAGTGATGCATAGTAACTCTCTATCTAAGTGGTTGCAGGATTATGAATATAGATCAAGGTGTAGAGACAAGAAATTGTATATATACAAGAAATGGATTAAGACTCCATTTACCCAAAAAAAAAAAACGAAGATGCGTGTGCTGAATAAAATCTTAATGAGCCTTCTCTTGTTCTGGTTTCTACTAACCTTAGGTGCAAGAAAGACGTTCTTGTTCCAAGAACACTATCAAGAATCAGTTTCAGATCTCAAAAACAACATCGAAGTCGGTTACTCGCGACAATCTGACATGAATCATCCACAAGAACATGGCCCTGAGGATATATATCCGTAAGCATAAGCAGAAGCATCTCCTACTGAGAAACATAAGCTTGAAAATTTTCATCTGATGTATAGAACCCTGAACAATTTGGTCCTCGGGTTCTGTACCAAATCATAACCATAGGCTTCAAATTAACAAAGTGTAATGCAACCTGGAGAGTGTGCCTAATCCATAAGATGTAAATAAATTAATAAATATGCGGCATTTCTTTAGTGAATATATATGTATATATATACACACACACACACTTAGGTTCGTTTACATGGTGGAACTATACATGTAGGGAGGAGGAAAGGGACATGAATCAAGAATGCGTAGATGAACAAGTTGCGTGAAGGACCACCATAAAGAATGTAACAGCAAAGGTTGTCTCTCGTGGTTGGTTACAAGTCTATGTTCAATGTGAATATGCCAAAGAACTGGACCACAAGCCACAGTGAATGACAGAGAGATGCACGAAATTGCAAAATCAAAAGAGAAGAACATAGATATTCCTATACATATGTTGTTCTCTTCATTGCCGAGGTGGTCAAGTGGTAAACCACACCGAACCTCTTAACCGGATTCAAGTTTCAGGTTCTTTATATGAAACCGGAATAAACAGAAGAATAGTGAAGCCAATACGAGATCTATGTATTTATTTTAGAAGCAACACATGTAAATCTTGGAAATTGGAGGCTTCTAGGATGGAAAATCTATGAAAACAAAAATTCTTACAACCAAAGATACTTTATTAAATCAAGATGAACAAATAAGAGTTCTCGAAATCTCGGGACGAGATAGCTTTTCCAGCCATATTTCACTATATGTTTGGTAGGGTGACACTGAACTGACCTGTTTCTAAGTAGATGAGACCTTCGTGCAGTCGATAACTTCTCGGGTTTCCCCATCAACCTGTTTTGGCAAAGCAGCATCACACTTCAAGAAACTCGGTTGATTTGTTGATGCGAGAAGCCTTGCCCACATCCTGTCCGTTAACTTCACCTTATTGGTTGTCTCAGTCACCTGCTGTAATAGCAAAATGTGTCGTACAGTTGAGGTTCATGGGCTAAGCTGCAATCCCTCGGTTCATACAGAGCGTAACATGACGTCTTGTGAATCGTAATTAACTTTTTTCCACAACTTAAACATTCATTTTCATGGGACCGAGAAGTATACATTGTACTGAAGGGATGGAACTATGATTTGTTTAAGTCATAGTTCCGAGTGAAATATGTAATGGGAAAACTTATGGAAGCCTAATACTTTCTATATCATCGTTCAAGAAGTTTAGAAAGGTCAATAGAACTTATTACTTCTCGTGTAACCGGAATGCTTATAATATTTCCAACAATTGAGAAGAGAAGTCCAGGACTTGCTTCCTTATGTGAGACCAGACTCCATATATTCGATGTTAACTTTCGTCTTGAAGTTTTATAACCACAATGATTTCAGTTGTTCAGAAAATCCCCGAGAAGGGAAAGA